TTATTATTATTATTATTATTATTATTATTATTATTATTATTATTATTATTATTATTATTATTATTATTATGGATCTGAGAGTTACTTCTTTCGATCTCTATTTTTTTACCCATACTATGTATTGGTATGCACTCCTATTTTGTTCCCTCTATAGAGAAGATGTATAATAGACATTTGTAATCAATCATTTACCTCTTGGAGGAGGAATAATAGTATTTCATTGTTCCAATTATATATGGATTAATGAAAATGTAATCCATGTATTAGAAAAGAAAATTATCCATGAGGTGGAAACTTTAGGTTGCGAACCCTTGGTTTTCTTGAACTCATCTTCACACCTTGATCTAAAGGTGGCTCAACCCTTGGCAGGGGCGGAGCCCAATGGAGTCCATTGCGCATATGCCTACATTGAACTTTTGGGCCCAACCCCACGGCCCTTTTTGTGTGTGTGTGTGTGTGTTAATTCCCTCCAAGCTCCAACTAGCTGCCCAACGAAGCCCACTAACCCATCATCCCATTAGCCCAACATCATCACCCAATATCAATGACCCATTCCCTTACAAATGTGGAAATTACACCACCTACCTAATATTCAAAAAATAAGTATTAAAGTTTTTTATCCCACAATTACTACAAAATATAAGTAAATATGAAATGTGAAAAAAAACCCAATTTCTAGTATTATTAAATATGGCAATGATAAGTGTGTTTTTGCACACTTATTTAGATCATAACATGACTTAGTTACGAGCAAAATATTTTAATTGTGACTTAATCTCGTTGAATTCATGCAATGTAGGTGTTTCTGTGGAAATGATGGAATTCAGGATAAAAAAGGCGAAAAAGAACTAAAATAGAGCAAAGTGATAGTTCAGGGACTAAGGATGCAAATATTCAAAAGTTGAACTAAAAGGCAGCCTGATAATGCAAATATGCTAAGTATGAACTCGAAAGCGATACAAGATGATTGGAAGAAGAATGAATTGTAAAGGGACTAAAATGAAGAAGAATGAAAGTTCAAGGATTAAAATAGAAATTTGGCATAATTGGTAGCACTATGCGACCCCTCTATGCGATCGCATAGAGGCAGCCCGAGAACATTTTCTCAAATTTTTTTTACTCTATGTGACCGCATAGAATAAGTCGGGGGTCGATTCTGCAATTTCCTTATACGACTGAAACTCTTTTGGTAACCTAATTTTCACGCCATATAAATACTAAAAGATGTCCAGAAAGAGGCAAAACGTATTGGAGGCAGAAACAACATTTCTTGGAGAGGATTTTGAGTGCAAGAACGAAGATTTACACGAAAAGCTTCAACATTTCATAACTCGGTGATGCCTTTTATCCAAAATTTGATGTATTCTTTTATTTTAACCATGTTAGGCTAGATTTTCATATGCTAAGAGATCGACGTACCATGTAATTTGATCTTTAATTTTCTAGTTTTTCAATTTGACATTAAGACATATTTCTATTGTTTTGAATGATTTATATGCAATTATTGTTTCCGCAGTTAAGGGCCCGTAATTGTGTGAGTTTGGGTGATTTTTTTTTGCATTCGATAGAATTGGAATAAGTTCGACATAATATAAATCATCATAGGGTCCGATAGGAGATACAAATATACTGCTATGCCCTACGTGAATCTTTAAGTGTTCATAAAATCGCATGCATTTTTACATATGCACTTGTCATAGAAATATAGGTCGGTGGTATGTAGAAATATGTTCGATACATCTCGAGAGAGAGTATTGGATAGACTTAAGAACATTGATTCGTCACAATTGAAGTGTGTTGTCATGTTGTAAAACTAGGGTTTTAAAGTGATAATTGCATGGGAAATCGTGATCCTATTGTGTTTAATATCTATTGATTATAACAAACGTGCATTCTCAACGTTTGATTTCATTCTAGAATCTTAAAAATATTGTTTTGCATATTTAATTTAAGTCAATCATAAAAATTGCATAATTAGAGTTTTCTTTCCAAAATTAGGGTTTTAATCAGGTTCACATCCACTTTAGTAATTTAGTTTCGGTTAAGGCGACAATAGGTAAAATTGAACTAATCAATCTCTGTGGGATGATATTCGGACTCATTTAATCCACTTTATTACTTGTTAACAAGCCGTACACTCACGGTAGTTTTAAATCGAAAGAAATAATTTCGTGAACAAGTTTGTGACGCCATTGCCGGGAATTGAGTTTAATTTAATTTTATTTCTCGAGGCACTAATTCGAACTTCAATTTTTATTTTGATAGTATAATTTTGTTTTTATTTTTATTTTAGGTTATTATCCTTCATTTTTGTTTTAGTTATTTAAATTGTTTGAATCTCGTTGCTCGTACTGATTTTGTTTCTCAGATTTGCATGCCACGATCAACTGGAGGAGAATTGATTTCAACTGATCCTGAAATCGAGCGCACCTTTCATCAACTGCAAAGAGATCACCGAAAAGCACAAGAACAAATGGCTAACAAACTAAACAATGCTATTATTTAAGCTAATGAAGGAGAGGCAATGGACGAAGGAAATGAGATTCTGGGAGATTTTTTGACTCCTCAAGTAATTCAAAGTCAATCCAGCATAGTGTATCCACCGTTTGGGCAGCCAGTTTTATGGAAAAGCTGAGGAATTCCCACATCCACACATATCTCGATTTTTGGATATGTGTCAACACTTTAGATACTAAGGGATTTCGGACGACGCTATTAGGCTAAGGCTGTTTCTACATATGCTAAGAGACAGAGCACTTAAATGGTTGGATTTACTTCCAGTTGCAAGTATCATTACATGGAACGAGTTGGCACACAAATTCTGCACAAAGTTTTTCTCCCCAGCCAAGATAGCGAAGCTGAGACATGACATATTAGTATTTAGTCAAGGAGAAACCGAATCATTTAATGAAGCTTGGAACAAATTAAAAAACATGCTCTGGAAGTGCCCTCAACATGGGTTTGATAAAAAGACCCAAATCTGATTCTTCTACACAGGGTTACTTCCATACCACAAGAGCATGGTGGATTCAACATCAGATGACTCAATATCCACATGAACAGTTGATGGGGCATTGGAATTATTTGAGAGAATGGCTACCACATCAGCCATGTGGTCTTCTGAGAGGGCGATTCCAAGGAAAACTCTAGGTGTCTATGAGGTGGATACTTATTCAGCAATATCTGTAAAAATCGACTCTCTGTATCATAAGGTGAAAAGCATATCACAAGCAGCACAAGCTAAGAAGAGCAATTGTGAGGAATGTGGAGCTGAGCATAATACACGAAATGCCCAATACTCATGCAAGGAATTGAGCAAGCAGACTATGCACAGTTGCGACAATGCCAACAACACAATCAATATGGAGAAACCTTCAACCCAGTTGGAAGAAGCATCCCAACTTTTCTTGGAGCAACCAAAATCAAAATAAGCCACAGGGACAATTTCAACAACAAGAGAAGAGGCCTCAATTGGAAGATATGATAGGAAAATTTATGGAGAAAGCCGAAGCTACACTTCAAAATCAAAATGCAGCCATAAAAAATTTGGAAACTCAGATGGGGCAGTTAGCCATAGCATTGACTAGCAGAACGCCAGGTAACTTGTCGGGTAACACAGAAATCAATCCCAAAGAGCAAGCCAAGGCCATTACAACTCGAAGTGGAGTACAATTACCCGAAATCCATGTCAAGAGACCGGGTGTGATTGGAGAGACATCTTTCCCTACCGAAGAAGAGACTGTTGTAAAGGAATCAACTCCAAATGAAATTTTAGAAAAGTCACAGGATAAGGCGAAAGTCACAGTCAACCCATATGAGCCTCCGATTCCTTTTTCACAGTAGTTGAAGAAGTAAAAATTGGAGCAAAGGTACAAAAATTTTCTAGAAGTCTTCAAAAAGCTCCATATCAACATCCTACTAGCCGATGCACTATTCCAGATGCCTAGCTACGCAAAGTTTCTCAAAGATATTATATCAAACAAACGCAAGTTGGAAGACCATGAGATAGTAATGCTTACAGAGAAATGCAGCGCTAGAATCCAGAAAAAACTCCCACCAAAACTGAAAGATCCAGGGAGTTTTACTGTTCCTTGCACTATTGGTGAAGTCTATTTCGATAAAGCATTACGTGACATCGGTGCAAGTATTAATTTAATATCTATGTCTGTTTTTAGAAAACTCGGCTTGGAAGAAGCTAAAGCGACTATTGTAACACTTCAGCTGGCGGACAAGTCACTGACACATCCCAGAGGGATAATTGAAGATGTGCTTATCAAGGTTGAAAAGTTCATATTTCCAGCAGATTTTCTTATCTTGGACATGGAAGAAGATAAGGATGTCCCATTGATACTTGGCAGACCATTTCTAGCAACAGGGAAAGCGTTAACTGATGTTCAAAGGGAGCAGTTGATCTTAAAATTGGGAGAGGAGCATATATCGTTCAATGTGTTCAAGGCCATGAAACTGCCAGCAGAATCAAATAGCTGTTACCAAGTTGACATCATTGACAAGGCAGTACAAGAAACATTCTTACTTCGCGGCCCATCTGACGCCTATTAAGCATGCATTGCACAATCCCAATCAGTTCAGTCAAATTCTCTTGAAGTTGAAACATGTGCGAGGTTTTTGGAGACCAACCCGCCATACACCCGAAAGAGGCACTTCGAGGAACTGGGAACGGGAAATACAAATTCGCTGCCTTCCATTCAGCAACCGCCAGTTTTATAACTCAAGCAACTACCGCCACATCCATATATACATATTTGGGGGAGTCAAATACACTTTCAATAATCATTTCGAACACAGTCAGTGAGGTGGAGGAAGAAAAATTGCTCAGGGTACTCAGAGAGAACAAGACGGTGATTGGGTGGACAATAGCTGACATTAAAGGGATCATCCCTTCTCTGTGTATGCATACATTTCTAATGGAAGAAAATTGCAAGCCAAGTATAGAGGGTCAGAGAAGATTGAATCCGAACATGAAGAAAGTAGTTAGGGTAGATATACTAAAATTACTAGATGCAGGAATTATCTATCCAATTTCAGAAGTGCATGGATCAGTCCAGTTCAAGTGGTGTCGAAAAAAGGGGGAATCACAGTGATGAAAAATGAGAAGAATGAAGTAATTCCCACCAGAACAGTTATTGAATGAAGAATTTGCATCGATTATTGCAAACTCAATGCAGCTACACGAAAGGATCACTTCCCACTCCCATTCATTGATCAGATGTTGAAGAGGTTGGCTGGACATTCACACTACTGCTTCCTTGATGGATACTCGGGCTACAATCAGATACATGTCGCACCAGATGATCAGGAGAAGACCACTTTCACTTGCACCTATGGTACTTTTGCTTATCGTAGGATGCCTTTTGGTCTTTGCAATGCTCCAGCCACATTTCAAAGGTGTATGACGACAATATTCTCCGATATGATTGAAAGATTTATTGAGGTTTTTATGAATGACTTCTCAGTGTTTGGATCTTCATTCGATGAATGTCTAGAACACCTAAATTTGGTCTTACAGAGATACAAAGAGACTAACCTGATTCTAAATTGGGAGAAATGCCACTTTATGGGGCAGGAAGGCATTGTACTCGGGTATCGAATCTTGGGAAAAGGAATTAAAGTGGACAAGGCAAAAATTTAAGTTATTGAGAAGTTACTACCTTCTCCATCAGTTAAAGGAGTTCGCAGCTTCTTGGTACATGCGGGGTTCTACAAGAGATTTATAAAAGATTTCTTGAAGATCACTAAGCCGTTATGCAATCTGCTAATGAAAGACGTAACCTTTGAGTTTAATGAGGAATGTCTCATAGCATTCAACACTTTAAAGGAGAAGCTCACAACAGCACTAGTAATTGTGGCACCAGATTAGGAATTGCCTTTTGAATTGATGTGTGGTGCTAGTGATCACGCTGTGGGTGCAATAATAGGACAGCGGAGGAACAAGATTTTTCATGCGATCTACTATGCAAGCAGAACTCTAAATGATGCGTAAATCAATTATGCCACCACTGAAAAGGAGCTGTTGGCCGTGGTATATGCATTTGACAAATTCAGATCATACCTTGTCAGGTCTAAAGTCATCGTCTACACAGATCATGCTGCATTGAAGTATCCGCTCACAAAGAAGGATGCAAAGTCGAGATTGATTCGTTGGGTGCTGTTACTGTAAGAATTTGATATCGAGATACGAGACAAGAAGGGGAGTGAGAATGTAGTAGCGGACCACCTATCCCGATTAGAGCCTGGGAAGACAGAAGAATTAGTGGATATCAATGAGATCTTCCCAGATGAGCAAATATTGAGAGTAGATAAAGCACCTTGGTACGCAGATATTGTCAATTACTTGGCCAGTTCCATCCCACCGCTGGACTACTCAAGTCACCAGAGGAAAAAGTTCTTCTCCGAATTGAAGTATTATTTCTGGGAGGATCCAATTCTTTATAGGTGAGGGGCTGATCAGATAGTAAGGAGATGCATACTTGAGGAAGAAGTACATGAGATTCTGGAGCACTGCTACTCATCTGTATATGTAGGGCACTTTGGGGCTTCAAAAATAGCTGTAAAGATTCTACAATCAGGGTTCTACTGGCCTACACTGTTTAGAGACGCCTTTGAGTTTATTAAGAGGTGTGACAAATGTCAACACACTGGAAATATCTCAAGGAGGAATGAAATGCCACTGAATAACATTTTGTGTAACGCCCCAAATTTTATTATAAAATAGGTATGGGACGTTATCAAAAACTTACTTTTATTTATTTTAAATACCAAACGGTAAGAATAAAATTTTTAAATAAACAAGATACTAGAACATTCAACAAATTAAATTAAAATCATGGAAATATACGCAATCAACAAACAAATCAAATAACATGTTTTTATACACAACCAACTAGTAAATTTAAAGGCTGTTGAAGAGAGACACAAAATAGCCTAACGAAATTGTTTTTGAATGATTTCTTGAAAAACAATTTCTTTACTTTGCAATCCGCGCATCGCTCAGCTACCTCCACGTCGACCCTACTGATCTAAAATGTTGAAATTAAAGGAGTAAATAATTACACTCAGTAGGATACGTGCGTCCGGACAATATGATAACTTTTAAAACGTAAATTCATAACATTTCATACCATCATTTCATCAAGAGCAATCGGTGATCATTTGAAAGCTCTAGTACATTTGAGGAGACCCGAAAGCGATCTCACATTTCATTTCATTTCTTTGAGACCCGCAGGTCAAACATCTCATTTCATTTCATTGGACCCGCAGGTCAATAAGCATTTCATGAAATAAATCACACATGAAAATCATAATATTGAAAGGACATATCACTTGCACATAAAAGTATCCTACCTCTTTGGACAATAAAATTGTTGGAAGTAGGAAATTCACATTCCCAAAACCTTTTGCCGTTGCCGAGTCTATATGCCGAGAAAATTATCGAAAATATATTTTATGATAAATCATGAGTTGATTGATGATTGCAAAGCAAAAATCAAGATTTTGGATACTGTGAGGATGTGAACGTATAGCTGATCAAAGTGAGTGAAATCCAATGCAAAAGTAAATATGCATAGGAAAACATTATTTTAAACTGATGACGTCTCATAAGTATAATTGATGCTAATTACTTAGCAAGGCCCCGTTTTATACTATTAAATCATTTAAAAGGCAGTAGTCAATCTAGGTAAGAAGTCTTCATCTTCGACCTAATGATTATAGATAATTAGGCACAATTTATCCTAATTAATTTTTAACATCCAAATTTACCTCACTTACTTGATTAACACTTTAAATTAGTATTTACCAATTACAAGATTATAATGTTCTCCACGTGCTATTTTTACATTAAATGATACAAAATACACGTATTGAGAAGAGACAATATTTTAATATGATTTGTAAGTTGAATCCTAAAGCGAGACGAATCGTGAGCACGTAATAACATATAAATATAACTACTATAATAAAGTTATAAACATATCGTAATTAAATTAATAGGCACGTCGATCGTTCGTCCAAGATACGTTTAACTGTAAAAATATAATTATTCACGATAAAATAATTATATCAAATAAATAACAGATGCAACCTAACCAACAGAATCTCGTCAATTAGTTCCGTTAATTAGTCCAATTACAAAACTCCTTGTTTGGATATCAATCAAGTTAAATTAATTAGAATCTATTTAATATAAGAATAATCAAGTTTGCATCAATTTACATAAAATGACAGGTTAATTAACATCATATAAAAATGAAATAAATAATTATATAATGTATTATAAGCTTAATTGGACTATATACCAAAAATAATTAACTTTGATGGGGATGTAGAATATTTGTCAGAGGCCCAAATCATGTCTTACCATTTGTCTAGCAATTTGTGAGAAATTTACTTAATATGAAAGAAGATATTTAAGGACATTGTTAATTACAAACTAAATGTAAAAATATTACAAGTCACATGCATATGCAAATTAAATTGATATTTCTAGGTAATGATCCCCAAAATTTTCTATAATTATTGATTAACTGTAATATTTATTATGGAAGGTTGAATGAAATTCTAGCACTAAGGCAAGTTTTGCTCCCTTAAAATACACGTGCATGATCTATCAAATGAGGTGGAAGTCAAGACAATTAAATCCCCCAAACCTTATACTTGAACTAAGACACGTAATCCCCTCCCCAAAGCCAAGACAATAATGATTAATCATAAATAAAATAAAATTTTCGGAGCATTACATTTTGGAAGTGGAGATATTCGATGTGTGGGGAATTGATTTTATGGGACCTTTTCCCCCTTCATTCTCAAATCAGTACATCTTAGTAGCAGCGGACTATGTATCAAAATGGGTGGAAGTAGTTGCACTGCCAACAAATGACTCAAAGGCAGTAATTGGGCTCTTGAGAAATATATTTTCACCCGATATAGTACACCGCGAGCTATAATCAGTGACAGGGGCAAACACTTCTGTAATCGCCAGTTTGAGCAGCTGTTGAATAAATATGGCATTAAACACTGTATTGCTACCATTTATCATCCACAAACCAGCGGGCAAATTGATCGGCAGCTGAAGAGAATACTCAAGATCACAGTGAGCTCATCTAGAAAGGGCTGGTCTAAAAAGTTGGATGATGCATTGTGGGCTTACAGGACAGCATTCAAGACACCGATAGGCATGTCTCCATATCGCCTAGCTTTTGGAAAAGCGTGCCATCTGCCACTAGAAATGGAGCACCGGGCATATTGGGCTATGAAATAGTTAAATATGGACTTGAGTGTCGTCGGTGAAAAGCGCCTACTATAACTTAATGAGTTAGATGAATTTAGAATGGAAGCTTATGAAAATTCAAAACTCTACAAGGAACGAACCAAGAAGTGGTATGATATGCATATTTAGAGGTGAGAATTCGAAGTGGGGCAGCAAGTGCTATTGTATAATTCGAGATTCAAGTTGTTCCCAGGTAAACTACGATCACGATGGTCGAGTCCTTACACTGTCACGAAAGTCCTATCATATGGGGCTATACAAATCAGCCATGAGA